CCCCAAAACCCCAAAACCCCAAAACCCCAAAACCCCAAAACCCCAAACTTAACATTGATAAACAATATTTGAAAATTTATTTATTTAGCGATCTACCAATACATAAAATATATCATTATTTCAAATTTTAAACTATTTGCTTCTAAGAGAATGCATTTTAATAATAAATTTAAATAAAGACACAAAAACACAAAAGCAAGCAATGTCAAAAATGTCATCTACACAGTGTTCCACCCATAATGATTCAATGGATGGAGATAGCTCTCACGGAGGCAGATAATTAACATAGAAGTTCTTGAAAGAACTTTTTAAAAAAGAATGGAAGATGTATTATAGAACACCTGAACTGAACGAAAAACTTTACCTCCATTACAAAGGTACGCAACATCTTTGAATTTCCTAAAGTTTGAATTTAAAATCAATATATAGGGTTTACAAAAATTCAAAATCTCGAACAGTTTATAGATCTTAAGTGCTTGTACTTTGAGGGAAACGGTATAATTTGAGACAGGATTTATTATTGATATAGGTGTTACTAAAATTGAAGGACTTTAAGATAATGTGAAGCTTAGATCTCTCTATCTCTAGGAAAATTTAATTGAAAAAATGGAGGGTCTTGATACTTTGACCGATCTATGCTAACTAAATCTTTCAGATAATATCATTCAAAAAGTAGAAGGGTTGGCGGCTCTAACTAAGCTAGAGACTATATAATTGAAGAGAAATAGAATTGGAAAAGGATTGAATTCAGTAAATAGTTAATAACCTTAGATAATGTCAGAAGATGAAGCTGGGCAACCGATTTCAACTTGCATTGGTGATCTTGAAGGATTACTAGAATGTCCATCACTAACAGTCCTTGATATTTCTGATAACTATATTGAGGATCCAGCTATTCTACCTGAAATTCTTGAGAAATTACCCAACCTAGCAGTATTATATCTATAAGGGAATCCAGTAGTGAAAAAGATAAGAAATTACAGAAAGACTCTTATAGCAAGGATTCCAACTTTGAAGTATTTAGATGATAGACCAGTGTTTGATGAAGATAGAAGATATGCTGAAGCATTTGCAAGAGGAGGTTTAGACGAAGAAAGAAAGGAAAGAGATATCCTAAAGCAAGAAAAAGAAGATGCTCATTGGAAAAATCACGAGGCCTTTAGAGAAATGATAAGAAAGGCAAGAGAGGAAAAGAAATAAGCCGAAGATGAAGCCAAGAAAAAGGTAGAAGAAGAAATATTGAAATAAGATAACGAAAAGGCTCAGCCGAACTAAGAAGAATAAATATAGCCCGAAGAATCTAATGAAGAACTTAATTAGTCAATATAAAAAGCTCCATCACCAGAGAAGTTTGCTTAAGAGGAGTCTTAACCAGAAAGTAATAATATAGAGTAGGATAATAATGCAAACAATGATGAAGATGAAGAGCCACCAGAACTTGAACAAGTTGATTTGGAATTGGAAAGACTAAGAGAACTCGAGTAAACAAAAGAATAAAAATAAAAGGAATGGCTAAAGCAGGTTACCTATTAAAATGCATAAGATTCAAAAGAGTTAGATAAGCCTTTCATTCCCTGGGATGATTCTTGTGACTTACCAAAGCCAGATCTCGATGCTATTCAAAAAAGAGTGGAATTGTTGAAGGAACAATAGGTGCATGAAGAGACTCCTTTGATTGAGCAACAATAAAGATAAGATGAAGTTGGAGTAGAATTAGAAGTTGAAGCAGAAGCAGAGGAGAGAAGTTAAGATTTAATTGTCGGTGAAGAAGATGATAATGACAATGAGAAGTTGGACTACACAGATTTAGATGAACTTGATTGATTTTTATTTTGCTTGTTACAAATAGATAAATACCTTTATTTTTTATGGTATTTACTTTAAATAATTATGCCAACTGGGGTTTTGGGGTTTTGGGGTTTTGGGG